CAGGAGCGTAACACAGGGAAGAGGCACCACTTCCTGCAGCTGACAGGCAGTGTGGCCAAGAGGGCCCGGGACCTGGACCAGATGGGCCTCATGCTCTCGCTCATCACAGATCTCAGCACGTTTGTTAATTGTGACCGACTGTCCCGGGGGTGTCGCCCACTCCCCAAGGTCAGGAGTAGCTGGAAACAGCAGCCCACGCCACGTGGCCCTGACAGGCGTCTCCAGTCTGCACCTGCTCCAGCACAGGCCGTCCTGGGAGCCAGCACTGTCGGTGCTGTGCGAGTGTGAGTGTTGTGACGTGTGCCTACATACCCGTTAGAGTGAGGTGGCGTGTGGGTGCGTGTGGGAGGGACCGAGCACCTGCTTGGCTCCTGAGGACCGCCTGCCTTGGGGACCTCTCCACCTCTCCCTGCCCTCCGTGTAGCTGGGGAAGTCAAAAGAGAGGCCTCACACTGCATGTGCTCAGCAGTGGACGTGCTAGTGGTCCTCCCCACCTTCCCTAGTCTCCGAACGCCAGGCGTGGTCACAAGGCATCTGCTGTGTCCTGGAGGCTTTGGAAAGCACCCTCTTCCTGCTTCTCTGCCTGTTGGAGGGAAGGCAGGATTAGGAGGGCACATCTGTGTCTCTGCTCTTCACCTTGGTGTGGGCCTCACTGGGAGCAGCCCCCAGTCCCTGCAGCATGTGGCCACCTAAGCACAGGTGCCAATGCCCCACAGCTCTGCTGCGCACTGCGGGATCCAGGAAGGGCTGTGCCCAGAGGATGCGTCCCAGGCTTTTTCTTGCATTGGCCTCAGAGCCAAGGAACTGTCCCGTGGTCCTCCGTGTGGCTGGTGCTGCAGAGGCTCAGGAAGAAAGGAACTCGAGGTCTGGAGTGTGAACCTGTCCACAGCCTGGCCTATGCAGAGCAGGAGCTGCCTTAAAGCCAGCCCTCCCAGCCCTAGCCCAGGGGCTGAGCCCCAAGACTCCAGGGGGCCATGGCCATCTTGTGTGTTGTGGCTGACCTTGGAGGTCAGAGCCCAGAGCAGAGAGCTGTGGGGATCAGCGTGGGCAATATAGACGGTGACTGCTGCCATGAATGGACAGCTCAACGTGCCCCTACAACCCAGGACTGCTGCTCTCCCCTGAAATGGTGACCACTGGGTGGCAAGTGGACCTGGGGCTGCCCTTGAGGAGCTTCCCCAAGCAGGACAGCACCACAGGGCACAGCTAAGCCTCCCTTAGGGTAGCCCCTGGGCTTTCAGACCCGGGACTCTGCCACCCAGTGGAGTTGCGTCCCAGGTCCCAGCTGGCACAGATCCAGTGTCACTGTGGTGGGCAGTACGTGGCGTGGGCCCTGTTTCTCCTGGCTGCATAGCCCCCGGGCCCCCTCTCGGGACGGAATCACCCAGGGTCCCCAGCAAGGAGGAGCTGGGCTCCCTGCCTCCTGTGGCCCCTGCTTCTGCACCTTGAGCTGTGTGCCTGGCCCAGCTCCCAGAAGAGACCAGGCCGCTGCCTGCTGTGCTGTGGGCATGGCCACGGTCTCCCCAAGGTGCACACGCTGGAGGCCGGTCCCCAGGGAGGCCACGTGGGTGGTGCTGGGATGGGGGGTGACCTGGAAGGGATCTCCAGGACCTCAGTTAGCGGTGAGTGTTGTCATGGAGAGTGAGCCTGCGCCAGGCACAGTGGCCAGGCCTGTAACCCCTGCTCCGTGGGAGGCTGAGGCAGGAGGATGGCAAATTCCAGGCCAGCCTCGGCAACTCAGTGAGGCTTTGTCTCAAAATAAAGACTAGCTCATGGATAGAGCACCCTGGGTTCCGTCCCAGTCCAGAGCCAGCCTGGCCCCCAGCTCCTGTGGCTTCCTGCCGGCCTGGTGCCTCTTCCCCTGCCCTCCTGCAAGCCTTCACCACAGGCCTTGGCAGAGCTGCGGGGCCAGGGCACCCAGCCGCAGGTGCTCAGCACAGGAAGCAGGCGGAAGAGCCATCCCTGCCCGACCACGCAGGCCCCTGTCCCTGAGTCGGCCTATGTCTGGCTGCTGTCACAGCAGCGTCTTCAGGTCTGCCCGGGCTGAAGCAGGTGTCTGAGCTTCACCCTTCCCCGTGGCCGGCGAGTGCCAGGGTGGCTGGTCTGCTCCACAGGTGTGGGCACCAGGGCCCTGGGCACCCTGGGTGATGAACCTCTGGTGCGTTCCCGGGTGGACGGTGTGTCCCTCCTCAGGCCCACACAGGGTGCACTGCCAGGCCACAGGCTGACTCCGAGTTGGGCATCAAGCGCCTGCCAGGCTGATTGCTGCAGTGACTGGCCACCTCCCTGAAGTCCTGCTGAGGAGGCAGACCATGGACCCAAGGAGATCCACCAACCAGGCGGCCAGGCCCCTCAGGTGGCGGGCTCCTGAGGTGTGCTGTAGCTCAGTTCTCTTCTCCGGTCAGCCTGTTGGCCCGGCCCTCCCAGAGCTGGGCCTGGGGCCTCTCCTCTGGCTGCAGCATGAAGCATCCGTGCCCCCCCCCACCCCAGCAGGACTGGAGACAGCGCCTCCACAGCCGCTTCCACACATGGAAACAGTGGCTCAGCTCCTGGTCCTGGCGTGTGACTGGCCTCTGGGCTGCGCAGGCGTCCGGTGGCCTGTGGAAGCTGCCTCCAACCCGCAGGCCCGGGTGTGGCGGGGAAGCCTGGCAGTGACTCACGCTGCAGGGAATTCCCTAATGATGGGGAACGTTTTTTGCTTCTGGAGTCGGGCACAGCTTCCTCCTGAGGCTCCAGGGAGCCGAGGATGAGGCGGAGCTCAGAACCTACCCCGGCAGCCAGGCCCTCCGCCGGCCTGCCCCGGAGCCTGGCGCACAGAGCCCGCCGGCTGCCCCCAGCAGCAGCCTGCTTCAAGGAAGTGGGTGGCGACGTGGAGGGGCTCCCCGTGGTCCCAGACCCGAGTGTGGGCCTCCACCTTGCCTCAGCCTCTGTCTGTGCTGGAAACACTCCGCCTTGCCCACGTTTCTGGCCTCAGGCGTGTGGCCTTTGAAAGACCGTCCACAATCCCCCAGAAACTTGAGAGCCCAGGTCCCCTCACAGTGTGCTGCCGCTTGTGGGCCTCGGCACCCAGGGCGCAGTGCCCAGGTGGCGTTCCGCTGCCTCCTGGGGTGGGCAGGAAGGCCAGGGAAGCCTGGGGTCTTTGAAGATGCTACGTCTCAGTGGCTCCCAGGAGCTGTGGTGACTGTTTTGTGACCTGACCCAGGTGTGTCATGGAAGCCCTGCTCCTGGGGTGTCCTACTGGCCCAGCAGCATGGTGGCCCACGGAGCTCCCTGGGGGTCCACGACAGGCACCACAGGCCCGCCTGGCACAGCAGGAAGTGCTCCTTTCTCCTCTGTGCCCAGCACTGCAGCACCCACCTCCACACCTGCACTTTGTCTGATGTTTGCCACCGGTTTGAACTGCAAAGCACACCACTGTAGCAGGCGGCCATGCCACAGGAGTCTAGTGGCAGGCTGTGGTCCCTGCTGTCCTCAGAGGTGGCCAGGCAACAGCATCTCACCCTGGGGCTGGTGACGTGCGACATCCCTGCCTACACTGCAGCCCCATTCCCAGCATAGGCTGGCACCTCCTCAAAAGGTTCCTGGTGGAACTCCACTGGGCCACGGCTTTGGCCAGGCTCTGCAGACAGGTGGCCACACCCACGCTTCTGGGGCAGACTTGGCTGTGTGGCAAGAAGACTCACAAGTTGCTTTAAAGGTGCCAAGGAKGTGACGCCCTGGTCCCATGAAGGGGAGGTCTGCAGAGATGAGCAAAGGGGTGGCATCTGGCCACACAGGAGCCCAGGGCAGGAGCCCATCTGACGCGCCTTGCGTGGGGCATCTGCACACGCGGCTGGGCCCCGGGTGCTTGTTCGCCAGGCYCTTGGGCTGCTGCTTCAGGGGCTGCAGCCGTGGGAGCACCGGTTTCCCAGCCCCGGCTGTTTCCCGGGAGAGGCGGCTGCAGGTCCGTGGTGATCCCTGAGCAGATGCGTCTGGCAGGGGATCTGCACTGGGCTCAGGCGTGCCAAAGGCTGGGGTGGCCCTGGTGCAGCTGGGAGGCTCTCAGGGCCGCCGGTGACTCACATTTCCATCCTTGGCCTCCACCCTCCGCCCACTGCCTTGCCTGGCACTGAGGGAAAAGGAGATTCTATCAATAATGCAGGGTTTGTAACAGATACACGTTTTCTTCTTTGAAAATGGAGCATAAGCCATGCTGAGGGAGGTGGCCCTAACAGTTCACCTGGGGAACTGACTTTATTTTGGAGAAGAAAAGCATTGGGGAGGAAAAGGGGCCTCTGTGGGGTGGACGTCGTCAGCTCGTGGTGACCAGCCCAGGTAGTGAGCCCGTCGAGGGGCTGGAGGCACACCACCTGCCAGCTGCAGACGCCGTCCCCGAGTGGGCCCACACCTCGTGCCAGCTGAGAACAATGYGTCCTTTCACTGAGCCTCCAGAGCCTTTTATTTTTTTTAAACATGCAAACGGCCACTGGGTAAGGTTAAAAATACCATGTGTTTTGCATTTCTGGGTCCCTGTGGCAGGAGGCCGTCACAGAAAGGCTTTTCTTACTTTCCAGTCGATCCTCTGAGCAGAGGATGGAGCCTGGCTGGCTCCAGATTCTGCCCCCCAAACCTCGGGAGGCTGGTGGGCCGTATGCAAGTGGACACGCGGACTCCCAGGCTGGCGGTGTCACCTGCTTCCCCGCTTGGCTGCTCTGGAGGAGCACCGGGCACAGAAAGTCCTTCCTGATGGAGCTGAGGGCTGAGGGGCCACAGGCAGGGTGGCTGGGGGCCATGTCAGGGGCCAGGTGGGAAGGAGCCCAGGCACCATGGTGTGGCTCCCTCAGCCTCGTGGTGCCCAGCTCCTTGGCCAGGCTGCTGCAGGCCACACCCTGTGAGGGCCAGCCACCCCCCCGTGCCCAGAATGCTGCTCTTGACCAGCCGAGGCTGGGATGTCCGCTGCTGGGGTCTCAGCACAGGCTTCCACTTTCAAGTGACAGGACTCTTCCTGTCCTTTCTTCCAGATGGCCACCATGTCTGGGAGATGGAAGCCAAGACTGACAGAGACCTGTGCAGACCAGTAAGTACCCCTCAGTCCCCCGCCAGCAGGGCCCAACAGGCTGCGGTTCCTGTTTATTAAAATAAAGCAACTCAAACAATAAACAGAAGCAGTTATAAAACAGCAAACTGGTGAGAATAAGTGCTACTGCATGCAAAATGCCAGACACAGTTAGGGCAATAGCAGTGGCCACAAGACACTAGGCTGGACGGCCTGAGGCGCCTCACTTGGGAGCCTGCTCCTGAGTCAGGTGGACAGGCTCCGAGGCTCCCAGGAGGGGCACCTCACAAGAGGATGGCGACTCCAGTCCCGCCTCCCRTGCCCACAGCACTGTCACACCGGTGCTGTCCTGGGAGACGGGTGTTCCGAGCCTCCCACGGGGCGCCAGCCCTGCCCCTTTGTGCTGGCAGCCCGTGGCATGTGAGCTTGGCAGTGACTTGCCACCTCTCCAGAGAGCACCCTGTTGTGTTGAGCTCCACTCAGCCTGGAGAGCAGCCCTAAGCAGACTGCCCGGATCTACTCAGTGGATTTGCAGACAGGCCAGCGAAGATGCACGTGCCACAGCTGTGGTCAGTGCGTGGTGTGGTCTGTGGCTGATATCACCAGTCCATTTCCAACCTGCGGCAACACGCGTCATCTGCCCACACCCCCCTCTTCACTGTGGGCCACGTGCACCAGGCAGTTGCCCGTGAGCGGTTACTGCTTCTCCGAGGTGCGTCTTGGGGCTGGCTCTGGTCTGCAGTTGAGGCCACCCTCCAGCTTGGTGCCGGTGTGGCACCCCCAGCCCTCGGCCTTCCACCTGCACCTCTTCCTGTAAAGTGRGCATCAGGGAGGCCTGGTCTTAGCTGGCGTGTAGACCACTGAGGTTGAAAATGAGTTTTCATGCAGTTCCTCAGCACCTGCCAGTGAACAGTGTGTTCTGCTGAGTCCTAGGGGAATTTGAAGCACATCAGGCCCAGCAAGCAGAGTTGGAAGATGTCCAAAGGCCTCCGGAGCTCTCTAGCTCACTGCCATGGCCACTGCAGTGCCTGATGGCTTTTCCAGGCCAGGGGGCCGGGTGGGCTTTGCCTGCCTCCCGGGTGTGTAAATGGACATCCGATTATTCAGAAATGTCATAGGTGAAGGGCTTTGTCCTCGTGGGCTGTCTCTGGACAGCTGATGTCACTGAACAGGGACACTTGGGTGGTGTGCCTGGCAGACCTCRTCCTGGCAAGGTGCCCTGGCTGTCCATGTGCGTGGGCCCAGCGTACAGGTCACTGTGTCAGAAGGATGGTCTTCCACTGCACATCATGAACCCCTTCCTGGTGCTGACCGCTCCTGGGAACCTTTCCCTGGTGGCAAAGGGAAGGTCCTCCCTGGCACAGGGTAGAGCCTTGTCCTGGTGATGCAGGCCCCCTTTGGAGCCAGTGTCCACTCAGGGGCCACCTGAGGAGCCCCTGAGGAGGAGCCAGGGGGGCAGGGTGCGCCCACCTGTGTGTGCTGTGTACCCAGCTCGAGCTGGTTCCCGTGCACTGCTGAGCACCACTCTCAACAGAGCCCGTCTTTCCAAAGCAGACCACTGGGGGAGCAGTGCCCTGCATAGCTTGTTCTTCCCCGGGTCACCTGTTCCCTCTCCGCTACTGTTGAGGCCTGTCTGTCGGAGGGGTGAACTGCATGCAGCTGGGCCACCCAGGACGGCCCAGCCCTGCCTCCTCCCCGCTGTGGCCTGTGGAGGAAGTTTCCTTCTGTCTCTTCTTGCCGTTCTTGTCCTCTGAGGGTGTGCTTCTTCCACCATGGACAGGAGGCCACTGCGGTTGAGCACCAGCTGTGTGCGAGCGGCAGCGCTACAGGCCCCTCCCCGGGCAGCCTCTCTGCTCCAAGTCCTCCTTGTGCTGGGACCTGGAGCAGCACCTCCTCAGCCAGCAGGCCCGACCGGGCAGGCCCGGGCTGCGTGGTGCAAGAGGGCACATGCCCCGGCTCCACCCTCTGCCTCTTCAGGTGGCTGTCTCTCCCAGGTGGTCCATGATGAGGGACAGAGGGCCCAGGCAGAGCAAAACCACACCCCTCTTGCTTCCCCCAAATGGATGAAGTTCATAAAACCACCACCACAGTCCGCTTGGAGCCAGTGTGGGCCCCGGGGCTGAGGCCAGGTGGGGACATCCTGCTGTCTGCGGGTCCAAGCCGGCAGGGCTGCTTCAGTTGTTCCTCTGTCACAGGAGAGCTGGACCCGCAGCTCGTCCTGACGTTCATGACTCATTAACACGACTCAATCAATCTTGTGACAACTGATTCTCTACCATTCCTTTCACATGAGAAGCCATGCAGTGGGCTTCCTTGACCTGTCCCCGATTGTTAACCTAAACCACATGATGAGCCCCGGCCTCCTGGGCACCTGCAGCTTCTGCAGCCCCCTCAGGCTGGGACTGGGCCGGCTGCTGGCCCCACCCAGAGTCCCACCCAGAGCTTCCTAGACCTGCCCTTGGAGGAGCACCGTTTCTGTGAAAAGGTCTTGATGTTTATTTAGGAACAAAAAATGAAGCCCAAATCACCAACGTGCCCTGCGCTCCTGCCTGTGCTCTGACCTGTCCCTGGGCTGCGTGCCACTCTGTGCCCTTTAGCTTGGGTGAGCTGTCCCCAAGAGGGTGGCCCCCGCCAGCAGGCCCCCTTCCCTGCTTCACCTGTCACGTGGCAGGGGCTGTACCACCAGGAGGAAAGGTGCCTCCCGCCAGTTGGCAGATGGTGGTGACCTCGTCTGCAGGTCACTGACCCTGAGTGTCAGGGCCAGCACAGGGAGGGTCTGCTGGAGACCCCCGCCACCCAGAAGCAGCCTCTCTCCTTGGCAGTGCTCACCACACAGCCTGCTAGGTGCCCGGTTCCACCAGGGTCACCCGGTTCTAGACCCCCAGGAGGTCCGTCTCTCTGGAGAGCGAGGGGTCGGGTTTGCTCACACACACAGGCCGCGTGTGCAGAGGCCGCCGCGACGGAGGCCCTCTGGGCAGAGGGGCGGTTGTAGGCTAGAAGCCGTTGGTAGGAATCTAGCTGGAGTCTCAGCCGGCCCAGGAGCCGCAGGGCGGTTTGGGGCGATGCCTTTCTACTTGAGGGTCTGATGGTCTGCTTCCTCTTTGCCTGGTTCTCGCTAGAACTCGCTGGTGGTCGAGATCCCACCTTTCCGCAACCAGAGAATCAGCAGCCCCGTCCAAGTCAGTTTCTACGTCTGCAACGGGAAGAGAAAGCGAAGCCAGTACCAGCACTTCACCTACCTTCCTGCCCACGGTAACGCTGCCTTTCTGACCTTAAGTGCCGAGCATGAGCAGAGGGGGTGCTTTCTCTAAAAGACGCTGTGGAGACGTGGGCTGTGTGGACGCGGTCGGCCATGTGTGTCTGTTAGCAGGACGAGTCACTGTCCCTGCACAAGCCAGGAGAGCTGCGGTGGGGCTCCTGGGTCACTGGCGCATGCTGGGATAATGCTGCTCATTTTGCAGATCTCTCGGAACCACAACGGGAARGCAGGGCTCTTCGGCACTCAGAGGCTGAGGTGGCCTTGGGGCTGCACACCCTCAGATCCATAAGGGGGGACAGTGGAGAGTTTCAGCCACTTGGCAGGGGACTTCAGAAGCAAACCCTCTGCTCCACACGAGGCCAKCACGTGAGGCAGCTGCAGGGCGCTAAGCGGTCCTGTGCTCCTGTGGCACTCCCCGTGGCTCGGCCCGCTGCCCAGTGGCATCTCCCAGTGGCAGGAGGCTTCCCCAGTTAGTGCTTCTGCCCAGTCTGACTGTCCATTCGTGCACGTGGGGATTGCTCCTTTCCTCCCCAATCAGCTTCTCTTCTCGACCTCTTAGGGTGCTATCTTAAAAAAAAACCCAAAAAACCACTGTTTGTCATCTCACTCCCTAAACTAGTAGAAAAGAAAGGTGTGACCCAGGATAGCCTGGGACTTCCTGTGTGGCCCAAGTCACTGCTCGGGCTGCCTGGGTGTGTTCAGGGAGCACAAACTCATCCTCAGGTGTATCGTATTTTGGGGTAAACTCAGCTATGTCAAACATCCTTTTATATTGTTGCTTTTTAAAAAGAAAAGCCTTAGAGATTCGTATAATTTCAGAGGGAAGTTGTATATCTAGAAACTATCTGCAGATGCAGCCACATGGCGATCTTAGTAAGACCCAGATGACTTTGAAGGTTTCAGTTCCCTCTAAACGTGAGAGGCCCAGAATGTCCCAGTTGGTGGGATTCACARTGCCAGTCCCAGAAGTGCCGCTGGGGCTTGGTGACGTGGTGCGTGGCCAGGCAGGAGCAGGGTGCCGCAGGTCTGTTGATCCCCACCACGGCGGCGGCTCCTCTGCCCCACTGGACACATCTGGACCCATCCTGGGCAACGCATGATGGAGCACACACAGAAAGCAGTCTTTTTGTGAAAGTGTGGTGATTGTGTCCTGATTAAACTTCAGACACGGTGGACCAAAAATTGAATATTTTAAGGAAAACATGGGCCTCCCCAGGAGAATAGGCAGCGGTGGCAGCGTAGAGCAAGCCTGCCTGTTCCCCTCCTGCTGCGGGTGCTGCCGGAGCTGTTGGAGCACAGAGAGGCCCTCCCGCAGCACAGGCCTGGGGCACAGTGCGAGCCCCCCACAGAGGCCCGGGAGCCCCACAGCCGAACCTCACAGGGTGGGCTGCCCCAGCTCAGCCGGCCGAGGCCCCACCCCGTGCCCCCTGCTCCGTCTCTCACGCTCCACAGGACATCCCGCAGGCCTCCTGCCAGGGCCTGCCCTGCCCACGGCCTGTCCCAAGGCCTCTCTTCAGCATCCTCCGCCTACTCTCCTGGACATTTGCCCCCCATACTGTGGAGCCCCCAGGTAGCCTTTGGCCCCAGCCGGTCTCGGGGGCTCTGACAGTGTTCCCGCACCGTCAGACTCAGGCGCTGTAGAGCGCCTCGTCCCCAGCAGCGCCCAGTGCCTGGCGTGGCTGGCTGTCATCTGTGCTTCTTGAACTAATAAACGAGCAGATGGAGAACTGGAGCCCTGGTGTCCAGCGTCCTGTCTACCGTCTCAGGCCTCCAGCCGCTGTGGGGCTGGGCGGGGCCTTGGAGGGTGGCCTCGCCCTGGCGTTAGGCTGGGGCTGCTCGCGCTCTGCCACACTGGCAGCCGAAAACTCGAGGCTCGTCCTGTGCAGCAGGAGGCTCTGCCGCAGGCAGTSGAGGCTTTAACTTGGAGATGCCCACTGACCAGAGGCGCTTGGTCCTGACCCTCTGCTGCTGATGCTGTCTGGTCCCCACGGGCCTCAGGTCCACTGCTCTCCTAGTCTCTGCTAACAGGCAGTTCTTCCTGCAGCCACAGAACGTGCTGTGGAGGGGTGTGAGACACGGACACGCGTCCTTCACACCCATGAGGTTCGTCCCCACTCAGTGTGTGGAGTGCGTCTCCAGTTTCCCTTTGAGGTCAGGTCACGGGAGTGTGCCCTCCGGGCGGCGTCACACACCGCCTGTCTCTCCCACTCTCCATGAGCCCTGATGGAGAGCTGTGTCCCTGTGGGGAGGATGGTAAAGTGAGCTGTGTCCTTTGGGGAGGACGGGGCAGCCCGTGGCCACCAGCTTCTGCTCGATTCGAGCCGACCTCTTCTCTGGAGACTCGGCAGCCGAGGAAAGCTCAGCAGCAGCTCTTCACCAACCTGCACAGCTGCTGGCCTTGCTGGTCTCTTGACTTGAGCCGCTGCCCGCTGCCATCTGTGGTGGGCCCGGAAGGACAGCCGGCCCCCTCGCCCTCTGTGGGGCCAGCGTGTAGCGGGGGAGTTCCACGCCCATGTGAGACGCCAGGAGGGGAATGTGCCCGGCCGGCTGGAGTCCCTGCCCTCAGCCCCAGGCCTCCCTGGGATGGCCATTGAGCACAGGTGGCAAAACACCTGTGGGTCCGGAGAGGGCTGCGAGCTCGCGTGGGCACGAAGCGGCTTCCGAGTCCTCCAACGTCACTGCTTCTGTGCGGCTGAAAGGAAAGTGCGCTCCTTCTGTCCAGTTGTGATTGCCAGGATGACCCACAGGATGGATGGGCAGGTGTGGCCATGGGTCTGTGCTGCTGTTCCAACTCGACAGTCRGAAGCAGAGAGGACACCAGAGCTGCAATCTCAAGGCAGAGGGACGTCTCTGGTGGCTCCCCCTGGGCACCCACATGGCCCTGGCTCCCGCTGGAGCGTCCTGCCCAAGGTCCAGGGGCAGAGTCCTTGTTGAAAATGAGAAATAAAGAGCAGCATCGTGGATCTTTGAGACTGTTCCTCCCACCTGAAAGCGTGGTACTTGTTTGCCGGAAAGTGCCGCAAGGGACAGCCCTCCACCTGGGCTCCCGTGTGCAGCTAGGCGCCCACCTCAGCCCCCAGGAGCGCCTGCCTCTGGGCCCCTGTCCTCTGCCTCTGTTGGGGGCCCTCTGTGTGGCCAGCACTCCAAGGAAACAGGCAGCCCGGCAGAGGGTCACCTGGTGGCTGGGCGCACGTGTGACGGTGGGGAGAGAAACAGCCGTGACAGAAGAGCCCGGTTGGTGCAGCCACCAGGGAAGAGGGGCTCTGGACCTCAGGCTCCTCACCACCGAGGTCCAGCCCTCCCTGTGGAGGGTGGACCTGAGCGCACTGGAGAATTGAGCCCCATTCCTGACCCTGCTGGTCACTAACAAGCCTCTGGTCATGCCAGGGGACCTAAGGCTGGAGTTGGTTCTGCCATGTCCTGGGTTTCTTGTTTGCCTTATTCAATCAGAAATGACAGTCGTGCAGGGGTGTCGGCAGGGCGGCTGGGTGGGCAACGCAGCCGGGTTCTACAGCCTTTCTGCTCTCCCAGTGAGGGACACTGGGGCTGCGAGCTGTCACGTACACCAGGCTGCTGCCCACCAGCTGCCCAGAGCCAGTTCCGGGGCCGAGTCAGGGGGCTGGCTGAGCCCACCTGCTTCCTGGTGGTGATGAAGACCGGGCTGGGAGGCGCCGCCTGCGCCTGCCTGGGGCCCGGCCACTGTGGGGAGGGATCGGGGTGTGGGCAACCTGGCACGGCAGTGCCTGGCAGGCAGACGTGCCCACCACACACCCTCTCGGCCCCACGTCCCTTCAGAGCCGTCTGGACTCACCTTTGCACTGAGCTTTCCCACGTGTCTCCCAGGTCCACTGCAAGTCAGTCCGACCCAGACAAGTCCTCCCATGAAATCAGGGTAGACGCTGTGACTTCCAACACTCGGTCAGCTCCCCTGGGAGGAAGTGGCATCTTCACTGCCCTGTGGCCGCCCCCAGTCTGTGCACTGCCAGCACCGTGGACCCTGGGTGCCAGACACAGCCCCTGGCTCCTCGCCCTTACCTGGGCCTGGAGTGAGTGACCTCCAGCCTCAATGGTGGCTTGCCTGCAGATACTCCAACACCAACACAGAGGCCTCCCTGGCATCAAACGCTTTCACAGCTGGGCAGCCACTGGGCACTAGTTGGGTCATGCATGTGGGATCAAGCCAGGCCCTCCCAGACCTGCTGGACTGGGCCTCCGGACCCTGGTTACCCAGCCTCTTCTCTGAGACAAAGCCATGTGCTCTGTGACTCCCAGGTGACGGCTGCCTCTTTGCTGACAGCCCCACGGCCTCCAGGCCTGGAGCCCACTTGTCAAGCTCTGGAGACAGAACGTCAGGGCCTTTCTGTGCTGAGCTGCTGCTCCCAGGCTCCTGGGGCAGAGGCTCTCAGGCAGCCCTGGGATGCCCTCCCCTCCGCCTAGTGCCAGTGCAGCCATGTGAACTGAGGCCCCAGAACCCGTGGCCATTCTGGCGTCAGCTGGCCACCTCCTCTGTGAGGGACCCAGAGGTTGTAGAGGACATGTCATCAGGCCCGGGCTGGAAGCTGGGGCCTGCCCTTCATGGCTGAACCCACTTGATAAGTGACGCGGGCCCTCTGCCCACATTCCCCATCTCCTGGGCAGTGTGTGACCACGTGCCCAGGAGGGTTAATTCTGGGGACCCAGGTGTCCCAGCTCCAGGACCTGTGGGTGAGGGTGCCCTCGACTCCCAAAGGCCTGGGGGTCAGCCGTCTGCTCTGGGGCCACATGCTCAGTAGTGGGCTGGTCCTGTGGACACTCCGGAACATTCTTGCTGAGCCAGCTCGGCCCTGTGGAAGCTGAGCCTCCAGGGCCTGCGCAGCCTGACCCAGCTTTCCATGCCCCAGGGGGTCCCGGCTCCYGCCCCACACTCCCAGGGCTCTGGCGCCTTCTCGCCTACGGAGGGCTCTCCCAGGAGGCCCCGGTGTTAGAAGGAGGTCAGGCCTGCCCAGCAGCACAG